TTCGCACTATAAGAATTAATATACTTGATCTTATCTAGACCCACTTTTTCGAAAAATTTATAGTTTTTCTCAGCTCTTTGAGTTTTCTTACGCAAGCTATCCTGTGATACGTCCTGAAGTTGTAGCCCCAATTCTTGTGATCTTTTCTTGCGGAGGATAGAAAGCTGTTCTGTGATGGTATCATAAAGTATACTTTGTGCCTTCTTTTCACCAATTTTACCACCACCGCTTCTGATAATCTCATCAAGCTGATTTCTGAAATCCTTCCAGTAGAGGCACCAATATAGAATTTCTTCCTGGTTAGCTCGATTTGCTCTATCTTCAGCATCGATAGCTTTATCACATAATTGAGCTAGATGTTGTGAAGCTTCATCAATGTTGTCATAGATAACTTTTCCGAGACGGCCCGTCCCGAAAATTTCAGTCGCATTATTATGGTTTATAGAGGATGGACTATCTGATTCCAAAGGGGAATTGAATAATTTGTGCTTGAGTTCATCCATTCCTTTTTTCTTATGTGATCTGTTACCCCCGGCAACTCTCTTTTAATCATAGATCACTGTATCAGAGGTAGGACACTTGAGTAAACCTAGGTTGACGTTTTCACCAGCTTCAAATATTAAATTATTGCATGGTTGAATAACCAAGTTGAGCTCTTGAGGCATTTTCTCTTCAGGATAGGGTTCTTGGGCTTGAAGTTTTTTTTCCCGATTTCTCTGCTTAATTGTGTCGTTAACCTTTTTCTTATGCACCTCATTCAAGAAAGCATCTATTTTCTTGTCTTCCGATGATTTAATCTCCATGTAAATAAGCGATGTGGAATATTGGTGTAAGCCTGCCTCCGGCTGAGATGAAGACCCCGAATTTACATTATAATTTGAAGCATTACCAGATATATCAGGATTTGAAGTATTATTAGGTTCATCAGAATTTGAAGTATTATCAGTTATATCCGATGCCGGCACATCCTTACTTTGTGAGACTACTTGTTTATAAGTATAGTTAGAATTTGTTTCAGGGGAAATAGGAGATACAGAACATCGATCATCATTTTCCTAGCATATATTGGAACTATTTTCTACCTGTTCAGAAATATTAGAATTTGCCATTCCAGTAGGAGTGGTATTAACAAAAGATTGTTTAATTTCCTTAATTTCATCGCCTAACTTTGCAATATGGATAGTCTTTTCTTTATCATTCTGCTCTAGATTCACGAACCTAGCTTCATAATCTTTCAAAGTTTGTTTTAATTCGATATTCTCAGCCTCAATCTCAGAATACTTTTTTCTAAGTTCGGTAATCTTAGCTACAAGCTTGGAATTTTGTTCTTCTAATAAATTGTTTTTAGATTCTGTATTTGCCATTTTTTATATAAGGTGCAGATTTATTCAAAACCTTTTTATTATGCAGACATGTAAGTTATTCACGCGATTAAAATTTGCAGGACGGGCCGTCTCGGAAAAATGCCAAGAAAAAATAAACACGATTGATATGGTATATGCAAAAATCTTTATTTAACCCATGATGATCAGTGATATATTTACATTAATAATTCGATATAAGACTACAGATACAATTCATGAATATATAACCACGGAACAATAATAAAAACTATCTATACTGCAATGCACGAAGTGCACTTTCTTCGAAAAATATCTTTCGCTCTATTATTCAGAATCAGATAACGGATCTTCCGCCTTTAGCCCATGACGTGCTCGCCTCAAATCTAAAAAATAGCGGTTATAATTTTTTGTGTATATATTACAAGACTAGCATTATGACAAAGACTTACCGATATGTTCTCTCCTACAATCGGTGGATGACAGTGGAACTCGAATCTGATTGGCTTTCGGTTTGTCAAGTCTAACCTGGTGATTTAATCCATGAGCATCATTTAGAAACAACCAATCCATTCACATCTCGCTCAATTCCATCCTTTCGATCTTTGTAAATATCAGTAAAATCACACAGATGGTGGAAGAACATACTATGAATGAAATAAACAATACTGTGCCGGATCCCTCGAGTTACTGGAAAATTGCCATGTATGGAAAAAAATTTTTTTTAGTCGATATAAATATATTTTCGGCTTTAAATAGAAATTGAGCACTCAAATAGCAATCACACCATAAATGCTTATAGACTTTCTATGAGGTTTTAATATGATCGAACTTAGTTTAGGATATTCTGGGGTTATGCATGCAGAATTTCTATGACCTTTTCTTTTAAAGTTTGTTTAACACAAATTTCAAGTACGCAGTATAAGTATTTTGGAGTTGCAATAATAATCACATGAAAATATACTATATATGTGTCTATACACTGAAATTATAAGGTTTCGGTCTAGAGTTGATTTCCAAAATATTTGTCGAGATTGAGGTTAGTGTTAGGATACTAATCCTAGAAAAATGAAAAATGGCACATTGTACTTGTGCTCCATAATATAAATAAATTATGCATAATGATAAAGCTTGTAAGATGATACAAATAAATTATTTAATAAATAACGATAAATTTTGTTTTATTGCCAAATCGCTAATTCTGATTTATTATTTGTGGCTCCTTTAGAAATTATCACATTCACATCGTCTATATATGCTATCTGCTACTTTTTTGCATGTTTTACAATATAGATATGAATGATGATTGCATTCGTCACAGACCTTACACCCGCACTTCCAACCTCTGAAGATATGCTACCTTTCTAAGTAATTTTGACTTTTTTTATTTGTAAATGCGTTATTGTTATTTGGATTTTTCATATTATATATCAATTAGTGAGGTGAACCGGTTAGACTATAATCGGGTAGCCGAACCGAACTGAAAAAAATTGGGTGACCCGGTTAAGCAAATGCTTAACCGGTTAATCCGGTTATTCGGTTGACCCGATATAATCAGTTGACCTGATATAACCCGACCAGTGTTTGAAATTTCAGAGCTAAACGCTGTTCTCATGAGAACAGTATAATAGTTA